CAAATTTATTTCAAAAAAGATTTTTGTAATATGCTTTCTATATCCTTTTAAATTCTGTAAAATCTGTGGTAATACCTCCTAGATCTTAACATTGTAATTTAAAAAATGTATAATTGATATTGTGTAACAGGAAGAAAAGGTCTAAAGGAGCAGGGGCAGTTGGAGAGGTAGGGGAAAAGAAAAAAGGGAAACTAAAAAATATGAGAAAAGGAAAAAAATGGAAACAAAGTCTTTGCAAATAGGGAAGGGTGGAGAGGGTGAAGGGAGGCCAAGAGAAGGGGGGGAAAAAAAGAACCAAGATACTCATGTAATGGTACAAGATACCAATGATGAATGTAACTATATTTTATACCTAAAATGTACCAATAAACTTAATGGGAAAAAATTGCCAAGATAACAATAATAATTCTTTAGTCTAGGAATCACTCAGTAAAAAAAAGAATTATTTTCTTTAAGGTCATTTTTAAAAGGTAACACTGAACTTCTTACTTGAACCTATTCACTGATTGTGTTAATTTATGCTGATAATAATACAATCTAAGTATATTTTTACCTTTATGGCTGCATTAATATCCTGCATTGCAGCAAAATTAATACCCATCTGAAGACAGACCACAGCTCTTCCTTCATATGCTAGATAGCTATTTGGATCAATTTCCATGGTGATGGTAAAGTGTTTCCAAGCTTTCTGCAATTTTCCTTGGGCCTAAGATAATTTTCCAGTTTTACAAAGTAATAAATAATGAGTAACATGACAGATGTTTATGGTTCTAACTCACTTAAAACCTTTGGTAAGGTCGTAGTTATATTGTGCTACATCTAAGATATTTTAAACAAGAAAGTAGGCTATGGTGTGAGTACATTCAATTGACTGCCTCTGTTTATGATGGCATTTTAATTAACTAAAACATATTTAATTGCAGAGTCTCGGGAGGTGTGGGGTACCAGGGATTGAACTCAGGACCTTGTACTTACAAGGCAGGTGCAGAGCCACTGAGCTAAATCCCGAGCCCTGTAGAGTCATTTTTTTATACCAATTCAATCTTAGGCAACATAAAATGAAAGCTAATATGTGAAACACCAGTGCCTCTGACAATTGTCAAAAATTTTACACTGAATTCCACAGGCACAAGCAGGAATTATATTTATCTGTTTTTCTGCCACAGAATCTCCAGTTATACATAATACATGCAATAGATATATAAAGTAAAATTAATATGTGTTGCATAAATAAGTGAATAATAGTATAAAACATATTTTGATATGGAATTTTAGGATCACTATAAATATTCTATGGAAAATACATGTAAATCTACCAAGCATCTATGTATACCAACCTTAGCACCAACTGGAAAAAAAGAGAAAAAATGTCATCAGGAGAGGGATACCACTGACAGAAGAATGTCAGAGCATCTCCTAGAGAAGATGAGCAGGCAACCATGGAAAGGCAGAGAGTAACTAATTCAGCATGGTCAAGGGTCTGTCCTTTTCATGGGCTCAGAAACCCAACCTGTCAAATCTCAGAGGCTGACTCAGTTTAACCAAGCTTATTCTAGTGACTCTCACACAAAGCTAAGAACACTTGTAACTACTAGGCCACTAAACCCTGCATTTTGACCAGCAGCTCTCACTCTGGGTAAACCATTGGAAATACATTGTCATCACAAGTTCATCTAATAAAAAAGAAAGCAGAGAGACTGAGGTTTGATTATGAGAATATTAAACTGCAAACAGCCTCACAATAGGATTTTATCTGTCATCTATTCCTGACAACAACTGTTCTACCTGCTTCTATGTCTGCAGTGTTAGGCAAATAGTAAAGGAATCTGTAAATTTTTGTTGAGTAAAATGTTACTCACTGGCACAGCAGTTGGATGGCCTTATCTCACCTTTATCAGTGAGTCCTTTTCCCAATTCAAACCTTTATACTAAAGTGCTCTTCAGTCCCTTTTCAGGTTGCTGTATACCCAGTGATATCTTCATGAAATACAAATTTGATGTCACTTCTCTGATTAGTACTATTCTCATGTTTCACTAGACTGCAAGGTCTTTAAACACCAGACCTTATTTAATAATCTACCCTCATTTCAATCCACTCTCTTCTTACCCATAACATTCTACCCATTCAGACCATCTGCTTCTTTCTTACAAACCTTTCCAGTGGGCTCTTCCCTTTGTCCGGAACACAACATCTTAGACCCAGCCTCTACCTTTGACTAATTACTAGTTTTTCACACCTAGATGTAAATGTTAACTTTTAGGAAAAGCCTCTTACTTCTCAAACACAGCTCAATTTCTTGGGAATATAACCTATATTTTCATTGCTGTACTTATTATAATTATTTATATTATTGCTTATCCCTGTTTTGAGAGATCTGTTTTCCACCAGAGTATAGTATCACTATACCATCTTGCCTATGGGACAAATTCTTGTTCCCTTATCTTCCCAGCAAGTTCTAATTTGCTGCCTTTTGGAAGATGACTGAATTCAGAAATCTATATATCATTTTTCTGACCTTTTGTATGGCTGGCATTCACTTTAAAATTTTCATACATTGCTTACTCTGTTTTGTTTTTAAATAATTCAGTAGGATAAAACCCATGGAATTAAGGTATAAACTACTGAAATGTTAGTCAGGTTCTTATTCGTGGAATTCATCAGGCAAATTTTAAAAGTAGTTTATAAGGATAGAGAGGAGGGCAAACTTTAAGGGAACTCATGTTAAAATCCTCATCTGAGTAGCACTCCAGGTCCCCTGGCTTGTCCAGGCAGGCTTCGTGCAACTATGTGGGACTCTTGCTACCCCTGCTACTTTGTATACTAAAAGTAAGGGAAAGGTAAATGTTCCTAACTAAAGAAATAACACATAGCCCCATCACCAGTAAAGGGCCAAATATATTCTCCCTCCTGTCCCAACAAGGCTTTCAATGCTCAAAATGTTATATTACCTGCAAATTATAGCACAGACTAATTCTGGCTTTTGTGCATAATGGATTAAGATGCAACGCTTTCAGAAAGTCCTTTTGTGCTTGCTTGGTGGCTTCATGTCCATATCCCATGTAAGAATTCCGCTGTCCAGTATAAGCATCCAAAAAAAGTGGGTTAATCTTAAGAGCCTGGGTAAAGAAATCAGTAGCTTCTTTGAATTCTTGAATTCTGAGAAAACATTAAAATATTGATGCCTTCTGGTGAGTTTTCTGGTGACATAGTCAGTGTTTTCCTGTATATGACTTCTCCAGAAAGATTTGCAATGACCTTTGTAAAACTTCTTTCAATTTTATTATCTGTCATAGGAAGTGAGTACATAAGTCCATACAACCTAAGAAGTCTGGTGGGTTCTTTGAAGTTTTCCATAAAGGAAGGAACCAGAAGTAAGGGACATTTTCACAGCAGAATGTATTGGGATGAAATTCTTCTTTTCAGGTGATAAAATTCCAGATGGTATTCCTAAATTTTGTTTTAACAACTGTCAGTTACCAGCACAGAAAACATATGCTCTCATTGATAAAATATGCTATTTAAATTACACTCATGTACTGCCTAATGATGTTTCCATTAGCAATGGCCCACATACATTGTAACTAGTCTGCAAATATACTTCTATATCATTAGCACTATGAAGAACTGTCTAACGACGCATCTCAAAGAATTTACCCCATCATTAAGTGGCACATGGCTTATATTAAAAATAAATGTACTTTACATATTTAATATATAATGAAAAGAAGCAAATTTTCATCACACAAGGGTTTTTATTTCAAATCTATAAAGGCAGTCCATTTCATTGCAAACATCAGGAGAGGAACGTAGAGAAAAAAGTATATTTTATTTATTAACTTGTAAATGAATGTGGCTACATGATAATCCTGTCTATCCTCCCTAAGGTGGGGGTGGGGGCTGTTGAAGGAATAAAATATTTGTTCATGGGCATATAAAATCACTCTACCAGTTCACATGTATATCTAATAAAAGATTTAGTCTCAATTAACGTAGAGTCTAGATTTTAAAAATCAGATAAGGGAGCTAACATTGAGTAATTGCTTACTTATCAGGTACTGTGCTAATAGCTTAACAGACACTATTTCATTCAGTCCTTCCAACAACTCTTTAAGCTAATTATAATTATCTACATTTTGCGAATGAAAAGAAAAATCATGACTCAGAAAAGCTTGCACACCGGAAATGGCATAGTAAATAATGTACTAACTTTGCACAGAGTAAGCACTTAAAGCTCAAACTCAGATAAGGCTCACTTCAAAAATCCACGTTTTCAGGCTGGGGATTTAGCTCAGTGGTTCTGCCGCCTGCCTCGTAAGCACAAGGTCCCAAGTTTGATCCCCAGTAAAAAAAAAAAAAAAAAAAAAATCCATGTTTTTGCACATAGCCATCTTGAATGCACATTCTTCACTTAAAATGCACTATAACTGGTGCCGGACAGCCAGTAAGCTGACCACTGAACAATGGAGTCAGAAGAAAGGCCTGGCGTTCAGACCTGAGCCTGAATGTGCACATGAGAACTAATTTTGCAACGTTGTATTAAGAACTAAAGGGAAAGGAAAAAATTATGAGAAAAGAAAAAAAATGGAAATGAAGTCTATGTAAATAGGGAAGGGTAGAGGGGGTGAAGAGAGCACAGGTAATGGGGAAAAAATAAGAACCAAGATACATCATGTACAGGTACAAGTACCCAATGATAAATGTAAATGTATTGTATACCTAAAATGTACCAATAAAAGAATTTAAGGAAAAGAAAAGAACTAAATAAAAGAACAAAACACAGAAATCTTTCACCATTCTTTTCATTACTTGTCTCAAGCCAGTTTTTAAAAGTAATAAGATATATCACTATTTACACATTTTGCCTTTTAAAAACACATGGAATTCAGGAGAAGTGTTCTGGAAACAATCTTTTCCTAGTTATTGCTCAAAAGTATCCTTTAAAACAGTGTTTCCCAAATTTCAACCCTGCCTTTATGAGACCTACCCTACCCTATTATCTACTGAATATTTTCCTCTATGTCAATTCATTAAACTTAACTAAATTTATTCTAAAAGATGATCTAATTTCAATACTACACACTGAAAAATAAGTATCTCATGTTGTTAATAGAAGGCAACCCTAAAAATAAATAAAGCTGGAGCTGGATACTGTAGTCTACAGAAAACTAAACTTGAAGGCTGCATCATCTATTACAAACAAAGTATTTGAAGACTAGCTTTAGATAAGACTTTTCCCTGGATGTGTTTGTAAGTTATGAGAAAGAATTCATTCTGAAACTGAGAAGTGATTCAGTTTCCCACAATGTGATGCTGTAGGTCAAAAGAGAAATTACAACAAAATTTGTTTTGCAGATCTTAAGTTGGCTTTATTTGTGATTTTTCATTTTGGCGGTGGCCTGGATCCAAATGCTCTTCTCCACTACATGTTCCAAGCTGGATTTGTAGCCAGAAAAAAAGAAAGAGCATACAGAAAAGGAAAGTGTAGAAGAGACGGCCCAATTGGGTACACTTTACTTCTACTTGAAGGTTAAGCAGTTGGTTGCTTGCAATTGGCTGAGACTCAACTACTTGTTACAAGAGTAAGTTACAGCCTGTGTACCCTTCAAGTTAGGTTAGAGGTCACTATGTATGGAGAAGGCTTTAGGACAAACTTAAAACTATGTAGGGAGGCAGCTTTAGTCCAACTTTAACAATTCTCCCCATCTAGGCAACCTCTTCCCTTTTGGTCAACCTCTCAAAATTGACTAATGACCAAAATGTTGCACACTAACCTCACTCTTTATCACCATTGTAAATAGACTTATTCGGTCTCAAGTGCCACTGGGAAATAATAGAAAAGGAAAGTTTGTACAATGGTAACAAAGAAACAGAACAAGAAAAACTTGATTGGCTAACAGTAGGTTCCTTGAGGCTACTTTAGGGTCAGGGAGTTAGAGGTAAAGCTTCAGCTGGTCTATTTTGATATCTATCAGCTTCCTTAAAGTTTCAGCTTATGTATTTGCATTTAGCTTGAGTGACTCCATTTTGTTTTTCCCAATAGGCCTAATGTTCATAATTTTGCTTAACAAGTTTTTTTGTATGTGCATGATTACACCATGAAAAATAATTGACATACTCATGATTCTTGCTCCATGTTTTGGCTAACACTACCCAAAAGTGGTGCATCAAAGGTTCCGCCAGAGGATCCTACAAAATGAACACTGAGGAACGAGAGAAAATTAACTTCTGATATTATGGGCAGGCAAATCCATATATTTGAGCCATATAGCATCCAGATATTTGAGCCAATCTTTTGAGTTCACTATGTGGGTTGTTACTCAGAAAACATCGAATCATTTCTTTCAAAAAAGTTATAATGAAATAGTGTTCCTCTTTCTCAATAATTGGCCTTGTTTAAAAGTTCACTGAAGGGGCCAGGCATTTAGCTCAGTGGTTTCGCCGCCTGCTGCGCAAGCTCAAGGCCGCTTGCTGCGCGAACTCAACCCGAGTTCGATCTCCGGTACCAAAAAAAAAAAAGTTCACTGAAGGTAAGATTACAGTGCCTAGTCCATGTGACTGCATTACAGCAATAATTCTAAACATGGACTAACATTGTTTATCAAGAATAAAAACACCACAGTCATTTTGTATAAAATGCATTTGTTGATAGGTCTTATTGTGCTCAGTATTTCCAACGAGCAATGAAGCACTTCCTTATGATGCATAACGTTGTTGTCTACACTTAATAAAACTTTCAGGACACTCGCTCTTCCCTCATATTTTTCCCATAAATCATTGAAATGTTCCTAGTATACTTATATCCAGATGTCATCATATCCTGCCCTTCTTACCCAAAAGGAAATTTAAAATCCTTTGGGAATACATATCCTGATATATGGTTTATAAAACCTAATCTCTCCTTTTGCATAGCCTAATCAATTATAAAAAATACAAAAACAAAAACGATGAGGCAGTGAATTAAAGCACATCATCAAATAGCATAAATATATTACCCAAAGGCAGTGATGGAAGCTATTATTTTACTAGTCTAGTTACCAGCATTAGCTTTAATGACCACTTAGTCTGTTCAGACTAAGTAAATAATCATTACACCTTAAGGCTGGAAATGGATCTTGAAAGCCACTTGTCAAGCACCTCAAAGTTGATAATGACTAAAACCAACTCCAGAGAAGGTGACACAGCTGAAGACAGAGACTCCCCAGGTTCTTACACCAATAGTTGAGGAAATAAACTAAACAGAGACCACTGTAGAAATAGCAATTTTAGTTTTCTGGAGATGTGTCTATCGGTGTCTCTTAGGTTGATGCTCTTGTTAAGTCATCCTATGGCAGTTAGCCAATGGGAAAACATAGCAGAATTCTACACTGTATCAATGAGCGACTGTTACCACAAATATTAAAGTATATAAAAATTTATTCTAAAATACAATGTATACATAAATCTAATGCAATGTGCTGACTTGAAGAAGGTGTCTAGTTCTCATTACTGTAGCCACTCACAATGAATCATGCACTGAGAGGGCCAGCGAGGCTACAGACACAAAAGCCCACTGCACTGACCACATTAATCACATACGTGACCAGATGTGCCCTACTGAGTTGTACAAATAAATCACAAATACCTCCCCCAAACTAAAGAATGTGGCTTGCAGAGTTAAAGACTAAAATGTATCTTATGCAAATATTAAGAATGGCAGAATAAATGTATTAGAATGAGAATTACATGGGACATATAACTGAGTGATCTTTCATTTTTTAAAAACATGAAGGGAGCTTTCTCAAAAAGATTTAAAAATTAACTCTACCATAACACTGTAAGTGATTAAATTGGGCAACAAGTAGAACATTCAGCCTAAGGAATGTTGTCTCTTAGCAACGACAAGAGTGAGAACCAGAGATACACAAAAGATACTTCAAAAGTCTGCAGCCCCATGAGTTCAAAGATCAAAGCCCTAAAATTTAAAGATTTATTCCTTTTATAAAATTTCCAAATGAGATTTTTTTTTTACTTTCCATACTCTATATAAGACCAAAAGTGAATCTCCATAGTTACAAACTATGCTACTATGTATACTATCACTTACCTTGAAATTCAAAAATATTTTTCCAGAAGAAACACAATCACAAAACATTCCTTATTGTTAAGTTCAGTAAAACTGTTAAAAACTCAATACACATGGAATTGGGACCCTGAATTATCAGGGCTTTACCATTGATTTAAATTCTTCTTTTATTAAAGAACAACAGAGATGCTAGTCAGGTGATGAAAGTTGGTTATTTGAAATTGCAAAGCAGTATCAGTTTAAGGAGTCTCTGCCATATATAACCAGTGATTACATTTCATGAAAGAGATTGCGAAACGACACACTGAGAAACTTACTGACTCTAATAGTTGCTAAACATAAGAAGGAGGGTGAGAGAAATTTTGGAATCTCTTTTTAGTTTTAACAGACTGTAATGACATTAGACATTTTTGGTCCACACACATCCACCAAAACAAACACATCAGTCCTTGTTATTTCATCTCGTCTCAAGTAAAATAATTAAGAGGTGGATTCTACAAAGGTTGCTGGATTAAAATTGACAACTGTGTGGTTATGTTTTGTTGTCTGTATAAAATAAAAGGTCTGAGGACAGTTCTTCTAACTTAAGGCATCTTCAGAAGTTCCAGTTACTAAATTACTTTGTTCGTAAAATAACAAACTCACTCATAGGGAAATATAGCTGTACTATCTATGTCCTAAAAGGGAAAATAAAGAATGCCAAGTTCCTTAATAATTCAAACACACTCTGTTCTCTAAACTGAGTATTTGCAGAATCTATCTACATAATTTATGAATTATTCTAATTTCCTCCTTCAAATTAACTGCTATGTTTCTTGTATAAAAAGTAATGCTGAAGTGCAAGGTCCCAAGTTCGACCCCTGGTACCAAAAAAAAAAAATGCTACAAACTACTACTTGGTCAAGTACATTTTATCTTATATTAAAATCCATGCACACTGAATCTCTGTGCTTTTAAAAGTGAAATAATCAAAATTAATTTTCAGATATTGAATATACATATGAAAATGTAAATCTTATGATTAGCAAACTTTATATACTATATTCTATATTATGTTTTTAAGTTGATGGTCTGCATTTTGGCCTTACATACCTGTTCTTTCGGTAACTTACTGATTTGTGAAACAATCTCAAAAAGAGGTATTATTGTAACATTTTAAGTATTATATGTTTAATGATTTTATTGTGTTTTGAAGATATTTCCTGGTATTGTTTTAATTAGTTTTAGATTTATAATTATGTTTTTAAATTCAAGATCTCCTTGAAAATACATTCCTTTTTGAAATCACTGTTTTCCAGGAAAATGGCTTTTTAAAGTCAGTTCCATTTTCTGAACAACTTATTTTATGTCTAGCTATGTTATTATGCATAATTTTACTCAATGTATTGCAAACATCATTTCTCAGTGTATAGGCTTCAGTCAGCTGGTCTTCCCCAATGCCTTGATGCAGGTATTTTCTCAATGTGATCCCACATCTATACAAGGAATTTCATTGTGTCTCTCCCCTTTTTTTACAGTCAGGCGCATCCACGTTTTCCTCACTTCCTTCCATTCCTTCCTGACTCTTTTAGGAGACTATAACTAGACGTGACTGTGGTCCCACCTGCTTCTCCTTTGCCAGTTACACTCCATACCTGTGGTGGCACATGGCGCTAGCTTGACAAAGACTGACGTCAGTCTGGCTTATCGATGCAGCTTGCTTAAAATCCTGAAACGAGTTGGTAAGCTTTGTTAATTTTGTAATATTTATGATATGTGCTTTCTTAAACTTCCTTCTAACTTTGGTTCCACGTGAACATACATAAATGACCTTTAAAACATATACGTTCCAAAGGGCTGGGGATTTAGCTCAGTGGTTCTGCTACCTGCCTAACAAGTGTAAGGTCCTGAGTTCGATCCCCAGTACCAACAACAACAACAAAAAAACAAGCAAAACATATACCTTCCAGAAATTTCTTTTGTTCCTCATGAGTGAGAATGTATGGACCAGAGGAGCCCCACCACTGTAAATTATTCAGAGTCTTGTGCTACTTACCTTCACATCAAGAACAAGCCTTTGGGCTTAGGATACAGCTCAATGGTAGAGCACATGCATATACAAGATCCTGGGTTTTATATTCAGCACAGAAAAAGGGGGTGGGAGAAACTTTTCTGTGCCTGCAATGTATAGTGAAGTCTCTCATTTACATTTTTTACCGTTTATATCCATTGAATACCACCAGAGTCCTCCCTACCTAGATAGAGTAGGAAAGTCCCCTGGGGAGGACCTTTAGAGTTATATGATTTTCAGCAAACAGGCACCCAGGCCAGGAAAAAGGCCTTGTGTGTGGATGAACTTAGGCTGCTCCCACCTCTCAAAATCCACACTTCTAGACAGACATATACTGTCTTGTCCAGGGATCCAGAATTCTTCCTGGGGCAGGGGGATGGAGACAATGACCCTAAGATCTGACCCTAAGATCTGAAGTTTGGGAAGTCATCTGGGATGGATCTGAATGATCCTGGGGACAGACTGTTTAAAACAAACTTAAAGTGCTGGGTCTGCAAGAAATCCTGCCACTGTGATCCAGAATGCTGTATGCTCTTAGGAACCAGAGACAGTGTCTAACATTTTTTTTTTTTTTTTTTTGTACCAGGGATTGAACTCAGGTCCTTGCGCTTGCACAGCAGGCAGTGAAACCACTGAGCTAAATACCCAGCTCCTAGCTCTTAACACTTCTCTAAGTCTTACAAAAACATTTGAGACCTGAAACAAAATAAGATCACTAAACTTAAATTAATAAAACAAATAAATATCTACAAATCAAATAACATGTTTATAGCAATACACTGCATACATATGAGATATAGATTAGTTTTAGGAATTGCTATAATGTGCAGAGTAACTTTCATAAAGCAAGAGTTCATGACCTGTGAAGGAACAAAAACGGCCCTGTTTCTTCCCAGACAATGCTGCAGCAGGCAAGTTCATGGGTAATTTTGACTGTGACATCATTTGGCTAAGTTTAACAGGGGTTGAATACTGCATCCTCTCTTGGAGTCACAAAAGGAAGCCACTCCAGTCCCCGTTCCTGGAGGTGACCAGCCCTCTACAGCACCAGAACGCACTGCCCAATAGAGAGGAGCTCACCATAACCAAGTCTCTCTCTCCCTCCCACCTCCTCCTCCCCCATCCACCAACTCTCTCTGGTTGTGTACCAAGGTAAAGGCTGCTATCATGAGAGGTGGAAGAAGCAGCAGTGGGGTCAAGCTGAGCTCTCTGGGAGCTAGAGGAAGAGGCACGAGTTACAGTCTGTGAATGTAAGTTCTCCACTTAGATTTGGTGAAGCATATTTTGATGCTAAATGAAAGTATTCAGACAGAAACAAAGAATTTATTATCTAATCAAATGTAATCTAGTCAAACATGCTGCCAGGGATCTTCCTTTCTGAGTCGCATTTCTTCCCATCTCCCTTGGAACGTTACTCCATCACGCCCTGCTGTCTTCTGGATCTCTCACTGCCCAGCCCTAACAAGGTTTCACTCAATCCTCCTGGCCTGGAAACCACACGTGGCCACAGCTTTCCAGTTCTGGTCACTACCAATTCCCCTGAAAGCATAGTCAGCACTGTCTCCACATTTTATAAACTGGCTCTAAAGACATTTTTATTAGCTTATTTTTATTCTCGTCAAGGTAATCCCTGTATACATTGCATTGGACCCAAGAAAAATATAGTACTTATAATTCTAAACAGTGATCCCTCTTTGTACTTCCTTTACCTCTAACTCCCACTTCCCACAAGCAATCATTTTCCAGCTTACTGTCTTCTCTTCTGGAATTTCCTTTCAAATGTCTAAGTACCATGAGTATTATATCATATTACAACTTTACAACTGTTTACTTACTGCATAGAATAGAATTTAGCTAATAGCACTGTGGTGGATTAACTAATGGTCAACTTGCAACGCCCAGCTGAACTGAATCAGTGTGGTCTGGGCATGGAGGATCCACCTGAGGATTGTTGCCAATTGCATAAAAATAAAACTGGAGGGGAAGATCATTCACTGTTGATTTTCTTGGAGAAGCTTGCCCAGGCTGGTTTTCCTGATGTGAACTTGGCTGTTCTTGTAGTTGGGGGAGCTCAGGTCCTCCCTGTACCTGGGAATGGCTGCTGATCTTGGCAAGAGAACTCTGATATTAGCCTTGAGCATTGCTTCCTGGCTCCAGTGCAGATCCCTCACCCTCCTGGCTGAGGCTTTCTAGCTTCCACCACTGGTCTTTGGGCCTTCTTGGTCAGGTCCTCCATACAGACTTGCATGAGACATTGCCATGGGCTCTAGGCCTCTGGCTGGACTCATGGAGAACATTGTCTTGGGCTCTGGACCTTCAGCTGGACTTGTGTGTGACATTGCCCTGGGATCCAGGCCCTTGGCTAGACCCTTCAAGTCTCTGATGTATAGACAGATCTCTTGCACTCCTCTGCACTGGACTTTTTGGATAAATATGACAAAATAACCGTATATATTATGTGTCCTATATTAAATATATTCCCTTGCAAACCCTGACTACAAGCACCATTCCACACACTCCCCTTTTCCCAACATCCCTACACATTCATGACAATTTTGTTGGTCTGCTGTTTGTGAATCAATTTATTTCTCTTAAATGTCTAACCCTTGGCTTCCCATTCAAATGTAGGTTTAGGACATTAAAATCCAGAGTGACAAAGAATCAACCACTGGGATCTCGTCTTATTAAAAAGCTTCTGCACTGCAAGAGAAACCACCAACAGAGCTAAGAGACAACCTACAATGTGGGAAAAAACTTTTAGCAGCTGTACGTTAGACAAAGGTCTACTATCTAGAATATATGAAGAACTCAAAAAAATCAGACCCCCCCCCAAATTCAAAGACCCAATTCAAAAATGGGCATCTGAAATGAACAGACATTTCTCAG